ATGATAGAACTCCACGATTTCGTAAATGTGTTAATGAACAAAATGAGGATGGTAAGAAAAATGCTATGCATCTTTTAAACAAAACGCGTGTAATCAGTGACTTAATTCGTATTGACTACCAACAGAAATGTAGCGAATTTCTTTGTAACAAAGTACAAACATTTAGCCTCAGATGTAATATTATGCTTCATGATAAGGGTTTGGAGTTAACTGATTTTTTGTTTTATCTTCCTATTAGAATGAATAGATGGCCGATCGTTTCTCGTTCTCGTTGATGTGTGATTTCTTGACGGAAAATCCTGTTTCTTTTTTTTTTTCGCATTTTTAACATTTATGTCATAAGATTACGAGTATTGAACTTGTGACGTTTATTTTCCTTTATCTTGATTTGACAGTCGTTTTATTTTAATCTTTACGTAGTTTGCATTGTTTTTTCAGATAGTAACAAATGCAGAGAAGCTCATGCTGTTAAAAGGAACGAATGCCACCCAAATTTCATTTGCATAAATAATCAGGCCTCCTACAACTGCTCTTGAAATCCTAAATAGGTTAGGGACGAGTTTAACTTTGAAAGTACATGTTTAGTATCTGCCATGTATTTTCGCATTTTTTAGGTAGATCAATTATTGTTCTTTTAAGTACTAGTTCTAAAGCCAAGTTCCTTTTTCTACTTTCTATGCAAATACTGCGGTCTTTGTCTTGACACAGTTGTTTTTCTTTTTCCCAGTAAAAAATAGAAAAGAAAATTATTTTTGGTTTAAAAAAGGGGTTGATTACTACTACTATTGGAAACTAACTAGATAGCTGATAGAATGCTGCAGCAAAATGAAGACTTTCTAACCCAAATTTGATCTCAGATCATATTGAAAGATAACTATCGTTTGGCAACTCACATTTTCACTAGTTCGCACCAATATTAAACTTATAAATGCAGATGATGCCATCACTGACGCACAAATTTTCAGATCAGAAATTTCTGTTTCGCCGTGTACATGAAAGACGATTTTTTGTGCTAATTCTTTCAAACCAGATCTCAAAAATATATGTTGTTATCTGATGTTGTCCTATGGTTGAAAATATTTTTCCTACATCAGAATCAAGAAGTTGAAACAAAGGTGGATATAGTTTGATTAATTATCATTACCATTTTCATTATCATTTACAACTCTTATAGCATTATCTGCAGCGTTCCGAGTATTAATGCATAAAAAATTGCCCCGTTAGGTACAAAACGTAACCTATGTTTGTGACATGTGGCGTGACGTATTATGTCAGTTATTGATTTCCCATATGTAAGAGGAAGCGAGAGCACGTGCTCACCATTAAAAAATATGTAGCTTGTTTTTGTGAACTCTGCGTACTTTTACTTTAGGACGTCTTGATACATGGTGGCAGCGGTGGTGGTTTTTATTCTGTTTACTGTTTCAACGATGAGCGACGAGGAATCTTCCTCTGGAACCCCCGCGACTGTTTCTGTACACACAACGGCTTCGAACCAAGCTGGAAATATCCATCGCCCGTCGTTACTTCAAGTGAAACCGCCACCTTCACTCAATCTTGCTGACTGCTCAGTGAAAAGGTGGAAGTTGGGGAAGCAAACTTGGCTCAACTTTGCTATTGTTTCGAAATTTTCAACGCAAGGAGAGGCATACCAGAAGGCTCTTTTTCTTTGCACCATCGGGCAGAGCACCTTGGAAAATCAACGCATTTCAGTTCACTGCGAGCGAAGATTCAAACAAGGTCGACACGGTAATCGTTAAGTTTGACGAATACTTCACCGGTGACGTAAACGAGACGTACGAGCGCTTCAAATTCAACCAACGCAATCAAGAAGCTGGTGAAAACTTCGATGCTTACCTGACCGCCCTCAGAAACATGACCGACACATGTAATTTCTGTACATGCCCGACGATGAAAGACTCTCTGATACGAGACCACATAGTCCTTGGGATCAGAAAGGAGGATGCTCGCAAACGTCTACTTCAGGAAAGAAAGCTCGACCTAAAGAAGTGTATCGATATTTGTCGAACCTCGGAGGGCGCCACAACTCATATGCAAGCGATAGGTGGAAAACTCGAGGAAGTTCATTGGATTAACAAGGCAAAGGGCCCTCCAAAGACGAGCGGGAGACGGAGTGACCGTCCCGAACATTTACCTGACAGGAGTAACTACCAATGACGAAAGCTCAAATGCAAATTCTGCTTAAAAATTTATCTTATGAAGAAGGAACTGTGTCCTGCGTGGGGTAAAAGGTGCAGTGTCTGTGGTAAAATGAATCACTGGAAGGGCTCGCAGATTTGCGAGCGAAAAGGCAAAGTTCACTCGGTAAGTCAAGACTCTAACCCTTCAGACTCTGACTCGGACGTGGCTTCAGTTAAGACTCTTAGTGTCGTTGTTAATGGTGTTCGATCCAAACAAGACAAGACCATTATTGTGAAATGATCGTTAACTCCAAGCCAGTCAGTCTGCAAGTGGACTATGGAGCTACTGTCTGTATATCCCTAAAAGCCACACCGATGACAGCCATACTAAACCTTCCAATATCTCCCTGAAAATGTGGAACAAAGTGAAGATGAAAGCGCTTGGAACCTGCAAGCTGCCCGTTGAAAACCCAAAAACACTGATGAAGTACATGGTAAAGTTTGCCGTTGTTGACAAACAGCTCACCCCCCTGCTTAGCCGCAAGGCTGCTGAAAAGATGAACCTCATCACAGTCAACTATGACCAGTTTGAGCATGTCAATGGAGAAGTAGATAGCATTGATATCTTAGATGAATTTCCTGACATTTTCAACGGGGACATTGGAACCCTGCCTGGCTCTGTGCGACTCACACTGAACTCTGATGTGGAACCGATACTTCGCCCGCCAAAACGACTGCCTATTGAGTTAAAAGAACCAGTGAAACTAGAACTTGACAGGCTAGACACTGCAGGAGTTCTCACTCCAGTGGATGAGCCCCCTGACTGGGTAAATCAGATGGCAATTGCCACCAAGAAGAACGGGAAGCCAACGCATCTGCATAGACCCACGTTCTTTGAACCTTACGCTAGAGCGGGAACACTATCAATTACCAGTCCTTGATGACATCCTTCCTGACCTTGCCAAAGCCAAAATCTTCAGCAAAGTTGACCTTAGTCATGGATATTGGCACTGTACTTTGGAAGAAGACTCTAGCATGCTTACCATATTTTCAACCCCTTTTGGGAGGTACAGGTGGACACGCCTACCCTTTGGACTTTCCGTAAGCTCGGAAATATTCCAGAAACGTCTGGTCCAAGCTCTGGAAGGAATTGTGGGTGTTGCCTGCATAGCAGATGACATCTTGATTTATGGTATTGGTGACACTCTTGATGAAGCCAGGCAAGATCATGACAAGAATCTCTCGTTGCTATTGGAACGTTGCCGGCAGAAGTCCGTCAAGCTCAACAGGGACAAAGTGGTGCTGAGGGTACAACAGGTGGATTTCATGGGACATCTGCTGACTGCACAGGGCTTGAAACCTGACCCAAACAAAGTCGAAGCCATCTTGAAACTAGAAACGCCTGGGACCAAGGAAAAAATTGAGAGACGGAATGGCACTGTTAACTACCTTGCTAAATTCCTGCCAAGACTTTCCCAAGTCATGGATCCACTTAGGAGATTGACCCAGACAGGAGTCGAATGGTACTGGGGAAATGCTGAAGAGAAAGCTTTCGATGAGGTGAAGCAATTGCCACTCAAGCTCCAGTTCTTGCCTACTACAGCCCAGACAAGGAACTTGTCATACAGTGCGATGCCAGTAGTCTAGGGCTTGGTGTGGTCCTTATGCGAGAAGGTCGCCCCCTTGCTTATGCTAGTAGAGCTTTAACGGATCCAGAGACCCGCTATGCAACCATCTAAAAAGAAATGTTGGCAATTGTCTTTGCACTTGAGAAATGGCATCAGTATATCTATGGGCGTCATGTTGTCATCAAAATAGACCACAAGCCTCTAGAGTCTATCGTCAAGAAACCACTTGATAGGGCACCAAAACGCCTACAAGGTATGCTCCTCAGAAGCCTGGCCTTCGACATAGACGTCCAGTACACCCCTAGCCATACCCAACTTCTGGCAGACATGATGAGCAGATCATTTCTCCCAGCTGATGGTCAATCAACCCCCAGTGAATTTGAGTCTGTCAATAAGGTCCAATTCCTACCCATGGGATAAGAGAGGGTACAGAAAGTCCAACTCGAGACTGCAAAGGATGAATCCCTGCAACTGCTTATGGACACCATACTGAAGGGATGGCCCGAGGATCGGTCAAAGATCTCACCTCAGCTGACCCCTTACTACAGCATGAGAGATGAACTTAGTATTTATGATGGGCTGGTGTTCAAAGGGGAACGCCTTGTTGTGCCTCAAGGGTTGAGAGCTAAGATAAAGAAAGACATACATGCGTCGCACGCTGGTGTAGAAGGCTGTTTGAAGAGAGCGAGAGAGAGTGTGTACTGGCCTGGTATGAACTCTGAACTCAAGCGCTGGATCTCGACTTGTGAGCCCTGCAGATTATTTGAAGTTTCTTATGGGAAAGAGACCTTCATGAGTCATGACATACCAGAGGCCTTGGGAGAAACTTGCTGTGGAGCTCTTCACCCTAAACCAGAAATATTACTTGGTAACGGTCGATTACTATAGTGGTTATTGGGAGCTGGACCGACTACATAACACAGATTCTGGAACTGTGGTCAGAAAACTCAAGGCCCACTTTGCAAGGCATGGGAGTCTGTGTCAACTTGTTAGTGACAATGGCCCCCAATTTGTAGCTGCAGAGTTCCAAAAGCTTACAAAAGGGACATTGAGCACAGGGTCACCTCTCCTTACAATAGTAAGGCTAACGGCAAAGTAGAGGCTGCTGTGAAGTCTGCTAAAAAAACTCCTCCTTAGAACTGCTAAAGGTGGCAATGACTTCTACTTGGGACTACTGGCTGAGCGCAATATCCCTTCTCAAGGAATCGGAAGTAGTCCAGTTCAGAGGCTTATGAATAGGAGGACAAGGACATTACTTCCCACAACTGGTTCTCTCCTGGAACCAAGACCCCTGAGCTCTAGTCACAAGAGAGAGAAGCTGAAAGACGTTCAAAAAAGGCAGGCTCTATACTACAATTCTGATGCCCATGACTTACCTGAATTGAATGAGGGAGACAAATTGAGGCTGAAACCATTTGTACTGGGGCAAAAGGAATGGAAGAAGGGAGTGGTTGTTGAACGACTTGACGAAAGGTCATATGAAATTGAGACAGCAGATGGGTCTTCCTATAGGCGCAACAGAGCCCATCTGAAGAAGACTAATTAGTCACGCCCTGAAGCAACCAGTGGTGAATCACAGCAAATACCAGACAGCAACATGTTAGGCCATGGAAGAAGGACCAGCAAACTGCCTCCTGAGGATACCCTTACTGAGCCACCACAAATGTCAAGCTGCCCTGACGAGCCAGATGAGCCCTCACTTCGCAAAGAATCAGGCACTAAAAGCCTACCATGTAGTGAACCCTACAAAGAGCTGGACTCAGGAATTAGAACCCAGTCAGGAAGACTGGTCACTAGACCTTCATACCTTAAGGACTTTGTAGCGTGACCAACCTACAAGTAACTTGTGGACATTGCCTGTTAGGCTTAACACCGAACCTTCTATTTGTTGTTCAAGATTGAACATTTATTACCAGTTGAGACACTTTCGCACATAGTGTCCATGTTCCAGTTTATTACTGTTTAAGGTTTCTCATGCATGTTCCAGTTTTTTCGTTTTTTTTTTGTTTGTCTACCCATTTTATATTGGGGAGGATGTGACATGTGGCGTGACGTATTATGTCAGTTACTGATTTCCCGTATGTAAGAGGAAGCGAGAGCACGTGCTCACCATTAAAAAATATGTAGCATGTTGTTGTGAACTCTGCGCACTTTTACTCTGTATTTTCGAGAGGACGTCTTGATACAATGTTATTCTTTAGAAATTTATACTGAAAAAGTTGAGGTCTTAACTCTTCGCTAGCTAGAACAATTTATAAAAAAGAGGCAAACAAATTTCCACTATCAAACCTTTACATTAATTTTCGCGCATTAATTTATCCCTTGGCGACGTGACATGCCTGTCACACGGGGAAAATAAGCTTCACCAGCTAACCGAAAAAACATAAGGACCATCTGAGTGGACAAGATCACAAAATCTATGACATTAGAAGGTAGCAATGGAATGTCTCCCACTCGTGCACGTGTTTACCGACAACCACCGCTACAGAGCCTGACTGAGGGTAATGTTATACCGGCATGACATTTTGGTTTTGTAGTATTTTTGCGCTCTTACGTGCTTTCAAGTAGGTTTCCAAAATTTTCGATTTGTTTCTCCATCGCCACCTCTAATTTATTCATTTTGCTATATAACAAATTACCAGACGACTGTGCCTACTGTAAAGCGTTCTTTTACTAATAAAAAAAACTTTCTGTAATAGGACAGTTAATAGATGTAACGCATTGGACAGTTTCCTTCAAATTATCAACCTCATAATGGTGTTTCTTAATTCTCAGAATGTTAAGCTCAAGCGTATGAAATACCATGATCCTATTCTTTGGGGGAATGTATTAAAAGGTTTGTACTCTTTACTTATATGAAGTCTCTAGTTTTCTATATTCAATATCAATTTACTTTGCTTAATTGCACTAAAAGTTATCCTAGAAGAAAGCAAAATCCGAAAAGGAAAAAAGCTAAGAAGGAATTTGTTAGCACATAAAATGTCCCTTTGGCTTTATGCCCGTTAGCCGAAAATTTAATATAATTTTCACCAAAGGGCACGTACAAGATGATGATTACGGATTTGAGTAATTACAAAAGTGTTAAGTCAAAATCTCTATGCATGTTGTTAACTGCATCCATTGGGACTGCTGTTACTGGTCTCAATTCACAAGAAACAACCGATTACTTCCTCCAAATTCATATTGTTGAGTCTTGCTTGTTTCGGTGATGATCACTAATTATTTCTATCGAATAAACGAGGGATCAAAGTGTTTTGAGTTTGTTTAAGTAAGCACGGACAACGATAGAAGCTGTGCAGTTTAATTGCAGTCTTCAATCTCACACTTTGACTTTGCCACTGTAATTCAAAATTTTGCACCAACGGAAATCAGTTTGGGCGTGGCTCGTGCTCTTTTGCGATCGCAAACAGATACATTTTGATAAAACAAATAAGGAGGTTCACGTGATCTAACAGTGATGTTACATGCCGTCAGTCTCGCAACCTTTTTAACCTTTAAAATCGACTTCAACAAAAATACAAAGACGGAGACATTTTTGTGTGGCTTACACAACTTGTGCAGCTACATTATGGCACAATCCGATCGATCTAACAAGAACAATATGTGCTGACTACAGTCAAGGAAATGAAGCACTTTTTGGTGAAAATACTGGTAAACAATGTGTAGCAATGTCACTTACTGCTATTATTTATAATCACATAGAAGATATCAATTTGTCGACTTCTTCCACTCTGAATAATATTCTTACCATTGGAAATGATTTTTATACTTCTATAAGATGTTCTGTCCAGACAAATGATTATTTGCTTTTAACTGATGTTCCATGCATTGTTTCAATTTACAATAAAGTATACACATTAGAATATAGTGAGTCATTGACAGGAAGTTTGTTCAAGGCATCAAATAATGGGCCATACATGTCTCTTCAAAATTCTCTGACAAGTGTTTTCAAATTGTCAACTTAACTTCGATTAACTACAATTGTTGTTTTTTAACGATTGGAATTAATACTGTTGCAGTGATTAACAATTCAGAACAAAGCTTTAAAATTTTTGATGCTCATTCCAGGGATTTGTATGGGATGCCCCACTCATTTGGGAAATGTACTTTGCTTACCATTGAAGGAATTGAAAACCTTGTGTCATATTTGAAAATTTCCTGCTTACAAATAGGGGTTGTTCCTTTTGAAATTAAAGGTGTCTTTGTCAGAGATAATGAACTTGATTTGCAAAATGTTCACGAGAGTCCAAAAATTGAACATTTGCCTTTCAGAAATAAAAGAAACCAAACACAACATATGAAAAGGAAGCAAAAGTCTCTAACTGAAATGCCAGAAGAAAAAGAAAAATGATTGTTTGCTAGACACACCACACACGCCGGCTTTCCTACAGTCGACTTGTCTTCTAAGTGGATTACAGCGTGGAGTTGTGCTCTCACAGGCCAACATTTCACGGTCTGGACCTTTAGTGCAGGTTGTGCCACATTGAAACTTGGGAGTCATTATTGACTCTCTATGCGGTCACATTTCACGTAAGTCATTTACTGGAATGTTTTTTATCCTGAATTTCTGTTTATGCCACATGCTCAGTGAGAAAATTACTCAACCAGTCTTTTTAGTAAATGCTAAGATAAAATTCTGGTAAAACTGCAGAATACCCTGCCACCCCATGGCATTACATGTCATTGAATACAAATAGAATAAACAATTTTTAGCCAGTGAGTGAAAATAGGACTTTTTTGTTGCCATTAGAAAATCAGGCACTGCTGTTGTCTGGCAATTCGATTTGACGGCCCCTTTAAATGAAATTATACTTTCATGTTTACATAGCTAAACCAATAAAAGTCACAAACGTCTAACGCCTAACCTGAAACTGCAGTTTGTCATTAACATGGTGCTAAATGTCTATTGTGATTGATTCCAAACTTTGGGGAGTAATCTATTGGAATTCAGTAACAAAGTGGTTTCGCTTTTATTAAAATATGAATAGGAGCCTAATGCTTTAATGTTAACTGAAATGTGATTAGTGTTATGTTTTCCAAGTTATGGCCAGAATTATTCAGACCTTAACATTTCATGACTTCCTTCAAGCTTGGCAGTCTTCTAGATTCTCTTCATAATGGTTCAGATAAGCATTGGTATCTATACTTGGTAGCAATACACGTGTATTAGGCCTTTATTTGGAAGACTACACCTCCTTTTCAGTTTTTTGTTTGGTTTGGTGAATTCATCACAATACTGATAGACATGAAAAATTACACTTTTTTGATTAGCTTTTTAATTTATCATCAGTGAAAAAGTAATAACTCATGTACAAAATAATATAAACTAGGCTCAGCAATAATAGATCACATGAGAAACCAATCAGATTTACCCAAAGTAGGTTGTTCTGATTGATACATGCTGTAGCTGACAAAAATTAACAAAAGCTTGGATACTTTTATGTATATTGATAAACACTAACAAAATTGTGTTCCTGAGCAAGAATTCAGCTGAAGGACAAATTTTGATGGCACACACTTCATTTAGTCAATACTGTCAAATTTATCTGCCATCAGTTTGTTGATTTCCTGTGAATGTGTATCTTTCACGTATACATTATGAATAATTAATAACATGATTTCTCATATGATAAGCACTTTTAAAATTTTCAAATACTTTAAACTGCACACATGCTATGAGCTCAACATTTGTTGTTTGCGAAAAATTTACTTCTTCTTATTTAGAATACCAAAGTACACTTTAATTAACTTACATGTAGCTTAGACTTTGTTGAGTTTTTATGAAGCCAGTTCAATGGAACTGACATTTGTTACGTTTATATCACATCTGTAGACCCCTTAAAAGCACAGTCTTAAGAGATCAGTTCCAAACTGTCACAGTCATTCTGAATTTTGACTGGTACCAGAAGTTCAATCTTGTTCTAGCAAATGAGAGTGAAGCAGGTCTCACACTTCCTCTTGTGTGCTCTAACACAAAGTGATATATGAAATTCAGTTGCTTACCATGTTTGTTTTGGACCTTTTTGTACGGTAGATTAGCACTTTGCATGATGATGTGAAGTTGACTATTTGCATGATGATGTCAAGTTCACCTGTCATTTCTCCCCATAACTTGAATTTGTTAGACTCACTGGCATGAAATTACAATTTCAATAATAAGAAAACTTGAAAGCTTCTGGTAGTTTAAATCATATGATACCATCATGCACTTGCCTGTACATTGCTCTGCTGTGTTTAAGATATGCCTCTGATTACTGTTCCTGAAATCTATTATGGTGACACTCTATCTCTATTTAACTTTCTGTTAAATAAAACCTCCAGGTATTGGGTTAAAAATTATTAGCAACGTTAATGTTACTTCAGAGTACTTAACTCAACATATGATACATTAAAAGTTTGCTTGTGTTCTGATCTTGTAATGTACCTATCTTTTTTCCCTAGACTGACTTCCATTTGTAACCTCATATCTACCCACCTCAACTAAATTTTTCTGTATTCTTTATTGAAAATACAGTTCCACAAAACCTAAATACAATAATTATAGTAAACGTTTTGCTCTCAACCAACTGAAAGTTGAACTTTATACCCTAATAGACAAAAGAAACCTACTCTCAGCATTGTGTTACTTTACATGTATATATTGTCCAAAATTAGTCACACGTTCAAACCAAACAAGCTCCCAATGGCTTCTAGTTTAGATTACATCATTTCCCGAATGTCCCTGCCCTTCTACAAAGTTTTGTCCTTGTGTACTGGTACACAAAATTTCAAAAATATTCATATGAAACTCTTCCCTAGAGTTTATTTCACATCACTTGCCTTGGAAAA